TTTTTAAGTGCTTAACTTTTCATTCCCTTTCCCAAAGCTTTTACATTTTTTTCTAATTTGCCTGCCTCATGTATAAATGAAATTTTCACTACTAACATAATTTCTATTACTTTCTTTTACTTAGATAACAGACACTGTCTTGGAGACTTTGTGGTTGTTCATCTCACAATATACAGACTTTAAAAATTGCTTTTTGAAAGTGGAAGATCTTGTTTCTCTTGGTTTTTTTTTCCTCTCAGGACATGTCCTGCTGTGAGTTAATTTAGAAAGAGCACTTTGGCTTCCCTGATTCACCTTAGCACATCCCCAAAAAAGAAAATTACTAGAATATAACAATCTTTCTATGATATTATATATTTTTCCTATATCTTCAAGTGTGGGATTTTTTTTTTTTTAGTGCTGGTTGATTCAACTGCATCTGTTTGCTTTTTAGTCTTTAATTTATGTTGGGCTGTAAACTGTCCAAGTAACAATTTGAGTGATGCAGCAACAGAAGGTGACCCAGATTACACAACACTGCACGCTAATGCCAAGTCTTCTTGTTCAATGGCAGCTGCTCAAAGCTTTGTGTTATTGCTATTCACATTCAACAGACACAAATCAAACAGCCTCCTCAGGCCCCCAGCCTGCCTATCTTCATTTTAAACATGTTCAAGAGCTCCTGCTTTTCGTACACATATATCAGCCTCACCAGCTGAGGCCATCTAGCCTCCTTGGCTTGTATTTACTCTCAACCATCTGACACAATTATCAAGGAAACCCATTGTGACTTCCACTGTTTCGCACACTTCTGTTTACGTGGAAGTTTGCCGAGAACATTTTCTCTATAAAAATAGTTGGGCTTTCACACTCCCTCATAATGGAGATATTTAGAACACCATATATATCACAGTTGTTTAATGACTGCTTTCTCTAGAGGCTGTAATTAAAAAAGCATATATAATAAAGGAATAATACTAAAATACATAACATAAACAGCTTTAGAAAAGGATAAATTAGCCTGGATTTTAATCAGAAATGTTTAGATTTATTGCATGAGCAGTATCAAAAAGCAGACTTTAAAGTATAGGTACAGTTTTAGCAGAACAATTTATTGCTGTACATTCAATATGTGAAGCAACAAAATGCTTTCATTCCTGATTAAGAAAAAAAATAGTTTAAGCATTGGGAAAACTACAAAACAATGAGTTCATACAACTTAGTTTCACGGACCAAATCTTTTTGGCATCTCCATCAAATTTTTAAAGCCTTCTGACAACACAAGCTTCCTGCTAGAAGTGCATGTCTAACCATCTACCCAGAGGACATGTCAGAACAATAAGAAAAAGTGCAAATCTTACTTTTTAAATGGATGAGCAGCAAAAAACTGAGGTAGAAGATGAGTAGAGAGTTAATTCTTGAATGAGCCATATTCATCTTGATAGGACATTATCCGCTGAGTTGCCTGTTGTCCAAAGGGCTGGTGCTGATCCTCACTGCTTTCTCCTCATCTCTGAAACTAAGGGCATACTCAAGGCACCCAGCCCCCTACAAGCCATCTTTGCCTGTGCCCCTCAACAGCCTGCGGACTGCAAACCTGCAGACTTTGATTCAAAAGGCAGTTGTGCTTGTTAAGGTTTTACTTCGGCCGGTCCGAGTGATTTTTCAAACCTGGTGCAGATTTGTGTGCGAGCTGGACTGGAGTCTCTTCCCGGCTGCCTGCTGCGGAACTGTGTGGGGAATGGTGCACTCTGCCTGGCTGCCACCGCACCGCAGATACGGCACTGTGCGCTCTTAGCAGCTCAACAGATATCACTCATTACCTGCTAGTAAACCCCCATTACACGACACTCCTTCTAATTCATAGTGCAAACACTTGATGCTTTCTTGCACAGTCAGCTAACAAATACTCTCTGCTTTCTGATTTTTTTCTGTATCTCACATCATTAGCACATGAAATGAAAAGATGAAACATCCCCATTCACAACCTTTTTAGTAGTTAGCTGTTAGCCTGTTCTCTTCCACAGTATTTTCTGGTTTTGTTGTTGTTGTTTACACTGGATTCACTAAAAAGCACAATAATTGGGAGCTGGCACAGGACCTCTGAGTGTCATCAGGTTGTATTTTAATCTTGAACTGCTCATGGAGGAACCAGTCACTTACAGAACCAGGAGGTGATATAGTAGGATTGATAAGAGAAGGGGATGAGAGCAGGGGATGGATGTTTGTTTTTAGCCAGAACTGGCCTTAAACAACTCTGACTGGTGCAAATGTCACCAGTCTGCCTATACTTGGGGGAGCCTTCCCCAGCTGCCACGGCAGCACAGTGAGGTGCCTTCTTGTCTTTTTTCTGCCCGAAATTGTCTCTGTGTCCAATGCCTCATCCATTGATCACAATTTTGTTCACAGGTATGAAAGCCTCAGCCTGGTCTAGCAGAAGTGAAAGTGAGGGAGGACAGAAACAGCCCCAGCAGCCGTAGTCAGTCGATGATCCAGTACAAATGCCGGCCTTCTGGGACCTCACAAACCCAGTTTGTTCACCATGGGTAAGCTGCACCACAGCAGTGATTGCTGTAGCACCATTCCAGCTCTGAGGCCAAGACAGAGATGATCTGTCCGTTTGGCGGTGAATCTACTCTGTCTACCACCTTCACCTCTATCAGTCTTCCTGGCTCTTGGCATTTGCCCTCGTTGGCTCAGTGAAGAAACCAGGCATTCTCAAGCCCAGGAACAGCCTGAAAAATCTGCTTGGCCATTGCTATGTTATGCTACTGTAAAACAGATAACACTCAATACATTGATACTGTCTTTCGTCCTTTCCACTTCAGCGAAATCTTTACCTCCAGTTCAGGAAGCCTTTGATAATGAGTTTAACTTTACACGTACACTTAACTGAACTGAGCAGACTGAAAGTCAAGCATATGCTGAGGGCCTCAGGTGTGCAGGGAGCAGACTGATGATACCAACATGAATTCATGAAAGCTGTTTATAATTGGTAGGTACTTTTACATCCACTCATTCAGCTCAGTGAACTGAATAATTTTAAAATTTCCCCTGCTGCAAGGCTCTTCCTTCTTTTCCATCTCATTTCTGTGCAGCTGCACTCATCCACTGCTGGCCTTGTGGCACATCTTTCCAGACCCTCTTCCCCTTCTCCTGCCTCCAGCAGCTCTACCACTTCTGCTTCCCAGGAAGCCTCCACACTCCCACTCCCCTGAGCCTCCTTGCTGCACCCACCAGCGCTGGTCTCTCTGATGGCAGGCTGAATTTCCTGGCCAAATTTCATAGGCTAGGAACATTATGATGAACAGTGTTCCTAGTGGAAATTACTTAGATAACTATAAAGTTAAATATAATTAAATGGTGAATTGTAGTTTTCAGCTCTTTCACTTTTTGTAATCCCCTTTGTTTTCTATTTACATTTATAGTTGTTTGGATATTTCCCTCTCCTTGTCATCTGTCTATTTAGTTTCTGTTTGAAATTATCTAGTAAAATACATAAGCATTCCAATGTAAGCATGAAAATACTACTCTGTCATCTGGGAATTCTTCTGTTGGGCTAAATTATGCAGTTGAGTCAGTGCTGATTGCCTGCTTTAAGCACATTAGTATTTAAATTTGTCACTATGTAACTTACTTAGAACAACATTTTCTGATATAATTTTGAATAATTTTAAAATTATTTTTATTGAAATAGTCTCCATTAACAGGAATTTGTTATGTCATCTTATTGTAGTTATAACTGCTGATTAAATTAATTTCACCTTTACTAGAGAAACATTAGTGTACCAATCTAAAAGTTTAAGGAAGAAGGCATACATCCAACAGTTGGTAGAATATATTTGGTCTGAAGACCTACAGATTCATATATCAGTCAATTTAGAAAAACAAATCCTTTGAATATTCAGAAAGACAGACACAAAATTTAAGCAAATATGAAGCTTTCAATTCTGAGGAATATATGGTAAGTACTGCAATGAAACAGTTGCATCTATTAAATCTGGATATTTTTCTGTAAATTACACAAGTATATGTAAAATCAGTACTCTAAGCAAACTTAGCAGTTCTGAGACATGAAGATATGCCACTGGTCTGAGAACTTGCCTGTCATGTGTTAACACATGTGTTGACATTGGAATTAAATAACCTGCCGTGTAACTCTGTGGTAATTACAAAACATACAGCAAGTGTATGAACACATCATAGGTCTTTTGAAAGTTATTACATTGTAATTGCTTTCAGGATAACCAAAAGAGCTGCTTTTTCAACCTCTTTGAAACTTAACTCTGCATTTCTCAATGCCTTTTTTCAACTGTTTCTTCTTCTTCATGAGCCATTCATATCCCAGAATTTAATGGGGAATAAACTAGATCATCTTATCACTGCCCTAATTCCTTGAAGTTGCCTACAGGATAAGGTTTGAATTTCTGCATTAATATCATTTGTACACAGTGAAACATAACATCTAAATCCAATTTCCATGCTTTCTCAGTACAGCTTAGCTTTGAAGAGATTCTGAAGTCATAAAAGTCAAAGGCTGCGCCATTTTCTCAGGGAAAAATGGTTTGTGCTGCCATTTGCTTTCACTTAAGTGGTGCTTTTTGGTTCTGTTTGCTTCTGTGCAATAATTACAGAGCGGTGTAGTATCAGACTAGTCAGTGTCATCTCTTCTGAAATATTTTACTCAACTCTGTCCTACAAGTTTCATTATCTAACATCTTTTGTTTCCTGACATAAGCACCGTTTTCAATTTTCAGATGACAGCAGTACTAATTAGTCGTGTATCTTCTGCCTCTCACTGCTAAGCATGTTGTTGTCTGACTGTTCAATGTTCTTCCAATTTAAAGTGCAATTTTTATTGACACCATCCTGTGCCTTCTAGGTCAAATATATTTACAGGTGATTTTCTTCAGTAATTGCTACTTCTTTTCCAGTCTGTAAAATGTTCCGTTAGTCTTAATCTAAACTACAAAATGAACAGAAATTAGAATAGTTAGATAATTCATATAAAGTATAAAATTCCCTTCCCCAGTGGAAGATGTGAGTTTACAAAATGCCTGATGCTGACTAACCTGAAGCTTTTATTGAATCTTTTTGTTCACTGGAAGCAAGGCACTGGTAAATACTCAGGAACAGATGGATGATTTCATAGAAGAGTAGAAGAGGGACTGAGGTAAAGATAACTGCCTAGGGAGGTTTGGGATATGCAAAACTCAACTGGACCAGGGTCCTTTGTGACCTGCTCAAACTAGACCTGCTTTGAGCAGGTGGTCCCTTCCCACCATATGATCCTGTGATCCTCTGAACATAGCATTAGATTTCCTGCACAAGCTCTAGCCTATGTTAGCTTGGTCCCCAGTTTTGAATACCTAATGCAGAAAGCCTTTTTACAAAATGGTCCTTGTTTTTATCAAGGGTCTTTGATTTTCTTACTGGCATTCAATGGTGCTTCTTGTGTACATCTTCTCTTAAGTTCTTGCTGAATTTCATCACAGATGAAATTGGGATTCTGAATTTCACTGGGGATCTCCACTGGGAGAGCTTCATTCATGGAAAAATATAGACCATTAGGGCATGAATTCACTCTGGTCTGACATCATGGTTCAGGCATTAAAATACTTTCTGAAGTATTTAGTTAAAACTCAAGATGATGGGTTCTAGAACAATGGACCCGACCAGATCATCCAGATCATCTCCCTGTTTATGGTACTTGTACCCTTTTCATGAAATAGATAACTTTTTTTATCTTTAGCTTGTAGCACTTTAGGTGATTATAAATGGACAAACCAAGATAACAGGTAAACCATTGTGATTAAGGGATGGCTATAAGGTCTTGTGGACAGAGAGTTGTGCTGTAACAGGAAGTTATCTCATTATCAAAACTGCTATAGATCTATTTGCATCTTAACTAGGCCTCTTACAACAAGGACAACTCTGTGCATTGATTTCCCACAACAAGTTCACTGTCCACAGGAGCACTGCACAAGAGACAGTTAGAAATTCCCTTGGCCCATACTTTTCCATAGATAAATATTTTGTGACTATGTTTAACTTCTTATATTAGTCTACAAATATTACTTCTTTTGAGCCTCTATTTCCTTTTTATTAGGGTGTGCAAATATTTGGGGTTTTCCCTTTGAGCTCTTGCTTTGCTCTTTTTATTTCCTGAGTAGCACCTCACAACAGAATATTATCTTCCAGAAGACCCAGCAGAGCACAAGCTTCCAGTTCTGTCCATTTTCAGGTTATAAATTTTTTAATAAAACTGAAGGGCTTTATCTGAAAATGTAAAATTATTTTGCAGGATCTACCAAGTATATTGCTTCCTTAAATGTAATAATTTTTTTTAAATTATGGCTACTTTTTTGCTTTTCCGTGTAGCCACTTTCCTACTAAATAATGAGAGGTTTCTACCTGCTAACCTAAAATATAAATTTAGGAAAAGATTACAGGAATGTGAAGTTAACTCACTCTATATATAATTTTGGATATGATAGAAATGATGGGAGCAATAACCCAGCCTTGACTGCCAAGTGTATTTTCAACCATACCACTTTATGCAGTGTTTGCTTGAAGTACTTCATACTTGCTCCTGGTCAGGAACTAGTTAAGGTGTATGCTGTTCAAATTATTGCATTTCTGGCGAGGGGTTTAAGTTGTTTTGTTGTGTTTTCATATGAAGTCTCTCCTGAGTATTTTACACTTAGGAAGACAAAACAAAGTGGCTGTGTAAGGTATGACAGGATTCCCCCGGGACCTGCAGAACTCAACAGCATGTGATTCACTTATTTTAATCTTCGATTAATTTTTGTGAAATAACATTTTTGTTGCATTTTGTGTGGCTGGGAAGCGGGGATCAGGAAGCAGGGAAGCAGGAAGCATCACCGGGGAAGCAATTCCACTGTCAGATGAATGCTAGGTCAGGCCCTGTCAATGCAGATGAAAATTGGCAATTAGTATTCTGTACCTTGCTGCTAATGAACCGGATAATCAGGAAGTTTCTGTCTGTACCAATAAGCTTCCTGTGAGTGTCAAGGTTATAGGACTGCTTGAGAAAATGAGGCAAATAGTGTCTTTACAAAAGCACTGATATATTAAGATCTAAATGGGTTGTACATTTATTTTTCCCTCTATGCTTTTCACTTCAGAAGAGTAGACGTTAACATTCTTACAGATCCTCTTCTAATTCTGTTTTTTAATTTCCTTTGGAGTGAGATACCACAAACTAGAAAGACCTAAACATGAATTAAATTGAAAAACCCATCTATTGCAGAGGAGATAGTTTTATAGTCAAGCAACTATCAATACTAGGTGGAAGAAATTCAGACCCAACAATTCCAGCAGGCAACAGTGTAGAGGAGGAGAAAGAGCAAGAGTCAGAAAGGCAGGATTAGTAACCAAATATGCTTGATTTTAACACACACTTTATATGTAAACGTTTTACTTCTGGTAAATACTGTAATTGTCCTAGGGACAGGGCAGGATGCTAATTACAGTCCCATGGAGAGGCTGGGAAGGAGGAGATGCTTCTGAAACTGTTGCTTGAATTTTGGTCTTCGCAAATAGAGAAACCTGACAACCCACTTGGTTTCACAGGACAAGCATTGGGCTGAGGGCCAGGAAACCATTTATTTCCCTGGTTTTGCTTTGCTGTGCTTGCAGTGACAAATTATTTTGAGGCAGTGAAATTTGCAATGGAAATGCAAACCACAGTAATCCTCAAAAAGTAATATTTGTAACAGGCAAATACAGAAGCTTCTTAATTTTTCATGATCACTAATATCCCTCTTTTTTTTTTTCTTTTCTGTGTTCAGTCATTGTGTACTGACTGTTTGTGACAAGGTTTTGAAAAGCATCTGATGATTTGGAGCTCTTTGATTTGCAGGTTTTCAGTTGAAGGATGTGATTTCCAGAAAGTGCAAAGCAAAATTTCCTTGTAGGTATCTCTGAAGTGTCTCAGTGTGGGTCCTGGCAAGCACTAAATTCCTCTTGGGAATCTTGGCCTCTGCATTAAAGTATTAGATAATATTATGGGAACAATAAGTAACTGTAAGTGCCCCAAAGGGATTTCAAGTTTCTGCTAAGTATTGGTTAAGACAGCATTCATCTTAATGCCAATGCATTTCTCAAAGGCTGCAGTTTTGTTGCAAACTAAATACTGAAAGTTTGTCAGTTTGAATTATATTGTTCACGAGGTAAAATGAAATATTCTGGCTTCCACACTTGTGTTGATTCAGATTATCTCACACCTATTTTAATCAGGGGTGGTGATACTGACCTCAGTGATGATGATGTATGTGATGTCACCATGTTCCCCTGCCAGTGAAAGGAAAACACCCCCTGGATGGAGGTGGCACAATTTGATCTCTAAGCATCATGTTGGACGCAAGGGGGGAAAGAGCAAATGTTACTACTGTAACTGACTTAGATTCTGTCAGGATCCAGAGAGCCCCTTAAATCACCAGGTGGTTTGTTGCTGAACTGCGTCTTAATTTTTGTGTGTGGGCAGGCTGAGATCTTTGCATATGCTGAATTTCACACAGTGCTTTCCATTTTCCTGGGTATCAAGACTTCTTCACTTTTTTTTTTTTTTAAGTAATATATGGCATTTTTGTAGTAACTTCTTCCAGTACAGTGAAAGCCTGGGTGATTATGATTTTTGTGCACAGGCAGCTGCTGAGAGGTCTTGTCTTAGCACCCAGATTTGACTTTAGCACCAACATTCACCAAACATAGTTTTGTGGGACCAAGACTTCTAAATCTGAGACTCTGTGTTTCTGGAATACAGGAATTTCTAAGCTAGTACTTCTAATGTAATTACAATTATCAGAGAAATACCATTTTGCTGTCAGAAACTGCAACTTCAGTACCTTGGCTATAAGCAAGTTGTTTAAAAAAGGTGTGTTCACAGTAGGAAACAAGGAGTTCTCACAGCAGCACGTCCTGTACGTGTTGCAGCAGCTCCTCATCCTGGCAGGGTAAGGTTTCCTCTTAGCTTTCAACTGCACTCAGAATTGAGGATGTTAAGCACTGGTGTGACAGAGGAAGGAGAAACTCCACACCCCACAGGACTTTTGAAAAACTTTTAGTCCTCAGCTAAACCTATAGGGATAACTCACATGCCTGAAGAATAGCAAATGCTGAGCTCTCTCAAAACTGTAGCCCTGTAAGTTGCTAAATGAACTGTAGTATAAACACAGAGTTAACTCTTTTTACAGCTATCTCTTTTTAAATAAATAAGATAAATTGGAGTGAATTAAATAGTCTCTGGCAGCATCTGACTACTGAAGAATGGATAAACATGAGCCATGTTAACCTTGACCCCCTCTACTCCTGCAGCAGCAAAGTCAGGCTTCAGTATCAATTTGATGAAGTAGATTAATATAACATGTCCTTGTAAAATACTGTATTTAAATAAGATAGGAACCAATAACCTACACGAATTATGCCAAATTTCATTATGACATGGCAATCACAATCAGCTAATTGTTCAAGAAGTGAAATTAACTTTCCAAAGGCTGGGAATGCAGCCTCTACATTATAAGCTATGGAAATAACTAGTCTAGCAGACTGCACTATTTCTGGCCACTCAGTGTGACTTCCTAACAGTCTGGCATTTCTTTAGGACCACATCCCTCTACGTGTCAGAAGCCACACTGATTCTGAAAATAGATGTTATACTTGTAATTCAAGACAGGAAGAAAAAATTGGCCAAACAATACAAATGCAAATTTGATATGTACTCTATGCATGATATGAGACAAATTTATCCATTCACATTTATCATTAGAAAAAGTGAATACAATTTTTTTTTATTGTATGCCACTGTAAATGTGAGAGATATTTTCCAAAAACTGGGCAGAAATTCAAAGTTAGATGGTGGTCTCCCTTAACCACCTAGTCTTTGAAGTGGAGCTGGTCACAAATTTTTGGAGCCTTTCAGAAGAAAGAGGATAGGGGTTTGTAATTTATTTTGTGTGTGTGTGTATGTTTTGTTGTGGGGGGGGTTAACCATCTTTTATTTGAAAATTGCTGATAAAAAAATTCTGGCAATTTTAAAAGGTATAACCTTCTTACTACTTTTTTTCCTTTGTACAGATAAAATAATTTTAAAGTGTTTTCAAAAGTTTGAAACATAAATTAAGATTCCTCCAACCAAACCTTTCAGCTAATCCAAGTCACATCTGATATCACACATTTTTAAGGTAATAAACAAATATTAAAGATTCCAACCTGTGGTTTAGTTCAGGAAAAGGAAAATGTTTTCAGAGGAGAGGAAAGCATTCTCACTCCCAGATTTACTTTGAAGTCTCTTCTCCTATCTTGATTCAAATCAAATGCACTAGTGTAAGCAGAATTTAAAAAACACTCAAAAGAGGAAAAGCAATAGCAAATCTTTAGCACATAAAGGCACCCAAGTTTCTGTCAGCCCTTTCACCACTGAACCCAACAGGTCTCAAAGCACCCAGGTTGTTGTGGCTGAGGTTGGCAAAGCTGCTCCACTGTTAGCAAACAGATGGGTGGCATAAAATTCAACTATAGAAAAGGATATGAGCAATCATATCCCCTCCAGAAGGAAAGCAACTAGCCTTTTGAAGGGTTGCAGTGCTCTATCAATTTAGCTTAATAAAGGAAAATTAAGAACTGGTTCTCCCCCTCAGCTGTTTTTATTGGAAACGCATGTTTCTTTCTACATGAAATAACATTAATTTTGGAATAACAACCAGCTACACCAAAAGAGATGTACAACCAACCGCAGTGTTATGAAATTCACTGAAATGGGTTTAGCTCCAGTGACACCCCAGGCAGCAAGTTGGTTTGGTTCATTTTTTCATTTGGGAAGGTCATTGTTGCAAGGTGATTGTCATAGGATTATTTCACGGTGTTATACTTACTTTGGAATGACTGTTCTTTAAAAATAACTTTTCTGTAGTGATTTCTCATACAAGCTTCTTGTGCAGTCTGGCTGTTTATGTGTATTGGATTGCTAACAAAGCAGAATTAATTCTGCATGCCCTTTTTTTTTTTTTTTAGTTAAAACATTTTTCTTTGTGCTGTGTGCTTGCACAGTGCACATTCCAACTACTGCTTTTTTGACTGGAAGCAAATTTGTCTTGCTCCAGGTTTTTAATAGTGGCCTCAAAGCCTAATTAATTTACTTGCAGTCTGCCTCTTGATATCAGAATCTAATTATATTTTCTTAGGAAAATGTTGTAATTAAATAATTCAAATGTAAATAAGAAAACAGATATTGAATGTCACCTAAATAAAAGAGGGTCCTGAAATTCTCACTTACACTATAATGATGCTTCAGAAACAGACATAATGCTTTCATTATGTAATGATTGTTTCTTACAGTGAGCAGAGTTACACAAGACATAAGCTTTGTAACTGCAGCCTTTCATCCTGACTGTGAGTAAACAGGCAATGCATCATAGGATATGTAAATTTAGCTCAGACAAATAAACAATGACAGTTAAAATACTCCTCTAACCCTAAAACATCCTTAAATTTCTGCAGTTGTGTGTCTTTGGTGGAAAATGTATTGTAGATTATACATACCTTTAACTTTATAATTCAAAACTAATAGCATCTACAAATTACACGGATAGTGATTCAGAAGAATGCAGAATAGCATCTTAATCTCCTCCTACACCTCGAAGCACTGTGCCTCTCTAGCAGAGAGATGGATTTTGATTGCCTGACAACTGTAACCATGTCCAGGTTCATCACAAAGGGAAGGAGAAGAGCTCTGGGAAGCCTTGATAAACACTGAGCTGATAAGCCTATTGGGGTGTTTCTAGCTGTCCTTAAAATTACATAGCAGATATTATCCAAAGACACAAAAGCTTAAAAGCTGCTGGTAATTTATCAGCTTTACGTGCTAACCTTCCAAGAAATTACCATTGTCAGCCTTCTAATTTTTTATCCCATTCAGAAACTTCTATGCATTATACCCTATTTCTGAAAAGTCTTCAATAGTAAATTTTTTTTGTCTTAAATACAAATCACTGAGCACATTGTACACACATGTTTCTACATGCATATAGTTGTAGCTTAACCTGTGCACCAAATTCTGCTTTCTACTGGGCAATGGAAGTGTTCTGCAAGTGCTTGACTGTATAGCTCAAATGCAGTGGCATCCGCCACGTCCAGCACAAACAGATATAAGTTGGCTCTGGTAGCATGAACAGAGATGCTGCAAGCACAGCAGAGGTCTTTTCTGACTTGGAAAAGGAATTGCAGATCAACAGGATGGACAGGTACGTGACAGAGCTGCATTGTGGGAAGACACAGGAGGTGGCTTTCCCTAGGAACACTGTTCTGTTTCATATGTGTTTCAAGAAGGTGTTTATGTCCAGGCATAAATAGTCTGGTTTGCATTGTGCTGTACTGTAAATGAGCTGGGCTGAATAACAGATACAAGGCATTTAGCTCATCTGGAATTTGGTGTTAACATAGCTGCACTGCTTATAATATTAAAGAAGCATTTAAACTTGGTAGTTAAAATGAACTAGTTACTTCAGGACCTCTTCCTTGTGTCATTGCAAGCAATGCTTTCCTTAAGACCTTGGTGGGCCACAACTAAGTGCTAACCTGAACAAGAATGGACTTTGACATCTTAGTGCCTCATTTCTTCAGCTCCAAACAATCCATACAGTGAATTAGGCAACCCCTCAGTACATCAGCCTAATACTATGTCAAACATGCTCTTAAGTTTCCAAGTAATATGAGCTGAAAACTTTCTATATCCTTGCAAGAGTACTAGATAAAAAACCTGGGATCTTAAGTATAAATCATTACACAGCCATCACCTGAGGCCTTCTATGGCAGAACTCCTAACTTCACATTATCTATAAACTTGAAGAGATAGAAGGATCTTCAGGTTCATACTATGACAGAGAATATATATCAAAAGATTATTATTTTTTATGTAAAATGTAACTACTTTTCTTAGGGATTAAAAATAGATTAATGTTTGTGGAAAGGATGGAGAGAGAGAGAGAGACAGACTAGAATGGCTCCTACTTGTATTCTATGGCCCAACAGACAGCACCAGGTCTTACTGTAATAAAGCCCCAATTACCTAACTCTAGGGGAGGATAGCTGGCATTTCCCTCTGCCCGATGATTTAATTGGGCCTGTCAGCCAGGGATAATTGGTTTCTGGTTGACTGAAAAAAGTGACAGTGACATCAGCTCTCTGCTACCCTCCATTACTGGAATTCTTGTTGTCTCGTAGCAGGGCCTCAGCACACAGGGTGCTCCAGCAGCTTTACAGGTCTCTCGTCATGCAGTGTAATGGAAATGCAGCAATGTAAGACAGAGAAACCCCTTCAAGCTGTTTACCCTATACATTTCCATAGTACCTTTTTGGGAACCAGTATTATATATGTACAGAAAAGTCTGGTTTTGCTCGTTTTACTGAAAATTTGGTAATATTGTTGCTGTCATGGTGGTTTCAAGGCTATAAACAAGGTAGGATTTATTGGGAGAGATGATAGGGAGTACCGTTTCCTAACCAGCTGATAAGACTGGAAAAATTAAGATGATTTTGGACACACGAAGCCTTCTCAAGGTCATGTGCCCAAAGCCGGGGCACTGTTTTTATTTCCAGTAGTGACATACACCATTTGAACTAATAAAAGATATTACATTTCTCCCTAATTCTTGCCTTGCTTAAAGGAAAACACCTCTTGATGCTACTGGTGTATTATTGCAAAAGGTTTAATGTGCTCTGTTGAAAGGATCACTCAAAACAACAACAAAAAAATATGTTAAGTCCTTGTTTATTCTTTACACAGCTTCAGGCAGGGAGTACAGTTTTAATTTACAGTAATTTTGTTACACTGCTTAAGACTTACATCAGTAGAGGGCAGATAGATATTTCCTCCAATGTTATTCTCTTTTGTTCAGCTTTCCTCTCCCTCCTTTCCCCTGGATTGCCAAACACGGGTGGATTGTGTGGAGCAGGCACGGATGGCAGGAAAGTACATGGGCAATTTCTCTCTACCCAAGGATTTCCCCAGTGGATATATTTTTCAAAGTGTGAAAGCAAGGCAGTGCACCTATGAATCTACTTGTAGAGCTAGCCTAGTACTGAGTTCACACTTAACAGGCTTAGCACATCTGCAGTATTGTGACAGCACTGAGTGTCTTGTTCCTAGCCCCTGCTAATTTCACCTCAGGGCTGCACTGGATTAGCATTCCAGGAGTAAATTTGCTCTGTGGAGTCTGTGACCATACAGCTCTCTGCAACTTCCACGCTGCATTAATCCCCCAGAAAGACATGGGAATGGCCAAGATCATTGTTATTCAACCCATGTCTGCCTACAGAACACTCCAGAGAACAAAACCCAAGCAGAGGCACAGTGTCCACCCTTCCTTGCACTAAACTTCCCAGATGGAGTGAGGCAGGCTGATACAGTCAGAGTGGATCTGACCTCCTTCTCTCCACATTTCACTTGCTGCACTTTAGAGAGAGAAACAAGGGGAGAAGCCTGATCAACATGACTCACATGTCAAACATCCATAATAGTACAACCAGCCTCCAGCTGATTAGTGCCCTAGAGAGTCCTGAATTGAGAGACCTGGGTGGTCTTTTCATGGCCTATGTGAAAGAATTTCTTGGCAATGGTTCCAGCAATGGACTTTATTCAGCACTGTTGGCTAGAAAACTTGTTGGAGTCTCTAGACAATCTTATAACCCTTTCACTTCACAGCCTAATTTGAAACATTTGTGTGTATGTGGTGATTGGCAGTAAAATACAGAAAAATCTCAGACTGGAGGAAGTATAGGCTTTGTGGGTTCCTCCCTACGTCCCACCCATCACTGACACATTTGGGAAGGAAGAATGACAGAATGGGTCATGTTTCCGCAGTGTGAACCCATGGCAAATTAGCTACAAAATTCCTAGAGAGACATTTACCTTAGCAAAAATGTCGTGGCCAAAGTAAAGGTGGCTGGAAGAGGATGTGATTGTTTGTGCTACTAGATTTACAACTGGATACTTACAGTGATCATCTGTTAAAGGATATATTGGGAATAAACTGAAATTACTCAGTCAGGTCTTAAAACTTGCATGGTATTTTTATGTAATTTTATTTCTGTTTGGTTGGCAGCTAAGTGTTTAACTTCAGAGTTGATTTTCTATCTGTCTTTTGATTAAAATATCTGTCATTTCTAGTTTCATTATATCTCAGAATTGAAGATTTTGAGGTGTAGAACAAGTATTTCGAGATGAAACTGTCTCCTCCAACACCAAACCCTCTTGCACAAAGCTACTTCTTAATTTCCAACAATTCAAGACTATTTATTTGAAAAATATGTTGTTTTCTTGGACAAATCTAAGCAGCTGCATTTGCAAATTCTGTACAGTCTCATAGAAGTGAGCAAGTGCTTATTCTTTGATGCTGTCTCTAGTTAACATAAAAGTCAGCTTTTTAATTTATGTGGGATATTCTATTAACTGGCAAGAAAATTTAGTAATAAGCATAGGAACAAAAAGGATTAATATAGTTGCATTTTGCCTGTACTACTTTAAGTGTAAAAGACTTAATGCTGAAAGAATCATAATGATCTGAGGGTTCAAGGACATTTTTTCCAGAGTGTAATTATTGCAGCAATGCCAGGCATGGTAATGGATCACTTAGCACTGTACAACTTTTCTTTGAACGAAGTCCTTCATGTATCATAAAACAGCAAAAGAAAAAAAGTGTTACCTAGGCTTGTGCTAAGTCAAAATGCCTGCTGAACTTGTACAATTTGGCAAGTAGGCATAGATGCTTTGTAGACTGCCAAGAAACCACACTGGACTCAACACAGAGTAAATAATATCAGCAACAAATAAAGGAAAAAAAGCAGGTTGTTATCTAAAGAAAAAAAAAACCAAACCAAAACCAAGCAAAACCTCTTCCCCATGCCCCCCAACAACACAGAAGAAACTAAGCAAGTCTCAGGGCTGTTCCATGGAACACTTTCCTAGCTTAGTTACTCTTGCTGGCAAAATAGTTCTCATCAAGGCTGCATTTTCCTTATGCACTTCATTCATGAAAACTGATGAAGCACATAGTTTTATACATTCCAAATGATGCTATTTGCTATGGAAACTGTAAGACCCAGGAAGCCAATACCCACTAATGATGTCTTTATGAGCCTGCTATTCAGATTAAAGTGAAATGTAAAGCTCAGCTTAAAATTTACAGTGCCTTGCTCTCAGAACTTGCTCTTTCCATGCAAAATCAAAATGGAGAAACTTATCAAATAGAGAAACATTGTTAGGTTTATGTACAGTTTAACTAGGACTCTACAGAAATTAAAGTTGGGCAAGCACAAGCATATATTTGTCTTCAGTGCAAGAAAACCATAGCAATATTGATTGTTCTATTTATATTGATGCCCTTGTTTCACTTAAGAATAATAACGAAATGAAAGAACTGATGCTACTTAAAATATTATTTGAAATAGTTTAATATTAAAATATATTGTATTTGTAATATAGTATTACAAATTAAAAACCCCTGAAGTGAAATAATTGTAGACTTCATTGAAAATGCAGTGTTGCAAGTGCAGGCATTACAGCAACACTCAGGACATAACAAATGCTTTGAGAATTTTCAGTATTTTTATGGAAAAATGCAACACCTGCAAGTCACGCTGTGTTTGTTATGCTGGGTGACAACCACTATCAATTTACAGGTCATAAATACAGAGTACATGCAGTGGAATAAAGTTTAATCCTTCTTTAAAGCTGTCAGGAAAATAAACCCATTTTCGGTGTCACATTGTCACTAGCAATTGGTTATCTCAGGAAGGATGGAGATAGAACAGAAGGCTGAGTGCCTTCCACATGCTGATGAACTGCACCCTGAGTAGATCTCCCCAACCCAGGGGCACTTCTGGGGCTGCTCTTTTTGCCACCGGGAAGCACAAAACCAGGGAATTCACAAGAACTTCTGTGAAGTGCTTTAAAACTCTCAAGTAGAAGACAAACTCAAAGCAGTAATATTGAATATTTTCTTGGTCATGGAAAGTGAAGATCAGAATTTTTGGATTGTCCCACTGATCCAGTGTGCTGCTAAGTTTTCTATGTGTATTAAGTTGTTATGTTTGTGGTGCTAAACAGTTTGAATACATGATCTGAGTGCATTATTTGAAAAATCTGCAAACACTACATTTATTTCTCTTACACTGCTCTGGATTCTGGTTGTTAGCAAGGGGTGTAAAAGCACAGCTACCGTGCAGACATAAATGGCTTGTGAGTACTCAGGTTTGTAATGATACGTTTTGGTTTTGCACCCAGGGGAAGTCCTTTTCTCTTCGCATTTTCATAACTTAGAATCCTAGTTCTGTGCTCAAAAATTACATGAAACGTGCACTAAAACAAGTGATACAAAGTATTTCTTTCTAAGCTTGAATTACAGTAGACAATTGACTTGCGTGTTAAATTTACGAGCTATGGGAAGCACGACAACTGGGAACTTGGCAAGTCCTTGTGCTTCAAAAACACTCAAGTAGAAAGCAAATTCAAAGCAGTGCTGTGGAGCAGTACTCGGCCACCCTGGGTCACCAGCGCTGGCCGGCTGTTTGAGCGAACGCTGCTGGCTTTTACACGCTATTTTTACCCGCCGGGCCGCACCCCGGCGCGGGGTCCTGTGCTCTATGCCCTGCGCCTGCTGCCCGTCCCGCCGCCCGGCCCTGGCGCTGAAGAGGCCGCGGCCCCACCCGCGCAGCCGCGCTGCGGTTCCCGCTCCGGGGCTCGGAAGCGCCGCCGTGACCCGCTGACGCGGGCGGCGGGGCCCGGAAGCGGCAGGCGCGGTGCGGGTCCAGGGGCAGCGGCGTTGGGCGGCCGAGCGGCCCCGGGGGAGCCCGGCGCCCGCAGGTGCGTGAGGAGAGGCCGCGGGGCAGCGCCGGGGGGGATGGGACGGGGGGGCGGGCGCGGCCATTTTCAGCGCCGCGGGCGCGGCGCGCCCTCTGCGCCCCCGCGGTCGGTGCTGCCCGTCCCCTCGGGCCGGCCCTGCCCTGGGCGCGGGGACAAAGGCGGCGGCCCCAGGCCGGGAGCGCGGCCGCGGGGGACACTCGGTGGGGACAGAGGGCCCCGCCGCCCCGCAGGCACCGGGCGGGTCGGGGCCGGCCCGAGGAGCAGCTGGGGCGGCTTTGCCCTGTCGTGGTTAAGCGGAAAGCGAGTGCGCCTCGGTGTAATAATAACAACAGTGCACGCCCGCCCCGGAGCGTTGCAGGGGCTAAATGCGTCTGGGAGCTGAGCGAAGCCAGCCCCAGCCGCCGCCTTAGAGCTAATAATAGGCAGTGTCGGCTCGCTGGCTGCGAGTGGGTTATGCCGTGGTCTGGGACGCAAAGAGAATAGATCTTAGTGATTTAACATAAGCCTAAGTTATGCAGGATAGATAAAACTAAGACTGAAATACAGAAAGCATTAACAACAAAGTAACGCTTAAGTGCTAATTTTTATCATTTTTTTTTACAGAGTATGAAATTACTGTTACATGTTTTCTTAAGGTGCAGAGCAGAACCAAGTCTTCACAGGAATTCTTTGGTGATCACCTATGAAGCTCCTGATCTTGAAGCTGCACTTTTGCAATGAAGAAAAGGAGACGGCTCGCTGCAAGTCTAAACGAAAAAGTTCATCTTGGCCATGAGAAAGATACTTCAGAGCAGATTCTTGTAGTGGACTGTGCACAAGAAATTGTCTCGAAGTCTGCAGAAATAGCTCCTGCAGAACAGATTGAATCTTCCCAAGAACTTTCACCGTCACCAGAGCAAAGGAAGCTCCTGAGTTCGTTGCAGTATAACAAAAATCTACTGAAATACTTAAATGATGATAGACAGAAACATCCATCATTTTGTGATTTACTCATAATTGTAGAAGGAAAAGAATTTAGCGCTCACAAAGTTGTTGTGGCTGTTGGGAGTAGTTATTTTCATGCTTGTTTGAGCAAAAATCCAAGCACTGATGTCGTCACATTAGATCATGTAACTCATTCTGTGTTTCAGCATTTGCTTGAGTTTCTCTACACCTCTGAGTTTTTTGTGTATAAAAATGAAATTCCATTAGTGCTGGAAGCAGCAAAATTTTTAGATATCATAGACGCAGTGAAGTTACTAAATAACGAAAGTGTTTCCAATGTACAGACTGATGTGGTAACTGATGTACCTACACCAGCAGAAACACTCAGTGAACTGACAGGTAAACTATTAAATAGCCATCAGTGCACTTTTTGTGGTCGAAGTTTCTGTTATAAGAAGTCCTTAGAAAATCATTTGGCTAAAGCCCACCGATCCCTTTCACTGGAAAGAAAACATGGGTTAAGAATGGTTGAGAAGGCCAGCTTTTCCAATAGACGCTCTACGAGAAGCCGTAAATGTCCAACTAAATTTGATATCAGTGACAATGAAAGTGCTGATGCCTCTGACAGCAATTTGGAAAAAGTCAGTTCTGACAAGGAGACATCTGAGAGAAGTGAATTTGAAGACAGTGAAAGTGAGTGCAATGTGGATGAAGAGGGACAGGAAGAGGAAATGTCAGGTGAAGATTCGGAATTTGAAGAACAAAGTGAAAAGGAACAGAATGATACTGAAGAGGGTTCTGAGGCAGTTGATTCAGTGGGGAATATTCCTGAAGGCTTAGCTCCAGTCATCATTCAAAGCAGTAGCAAAAAACTACTGCAGTGTCCCAAGTGTGACAAAAAATTTGATCGAATAGGTAAGAGTAAGTTGGGATGATCTTGTTCCTGTTTACCATATGGTGGTGCTGTTTGTGTGGGAAATAAACCAAGCTTTTTCTTGGTCCTAGAGAGTGAAGATCAGAATTTCTGAATTGTCCCACTCATCCAGTGTGCTGCTAAGTTTTCTGTGTGTATTAAGTTGTTATGTTTGTGGTGCTAAACAGTTTGAATAAATGATCTGAGTGCATTATTTGAAAAATCTGCAAACACTACATGTATTTCTCTTTCACTGCTCTGGATTCTGGTTGTTAGCAAGGGGTGTAAAAGCACAGCTACTGTGCAGAAATAAATGGCTTGTGAGTGTTTAGGTTTGTAATGGCATGTTTTGGTTTTGCACCCAGGGGAAGTCCTTTTCTCTTTGCACTTTCATAGCTCAGAATCCTAGTTCTGTGTTCAAAAATTACATGAGAACATGAATTAAAATGAGTGATATCAAGTATTTCTTTCTAAGCTTGAATTACAGTAGACAATCGACTTGTATGTTAAATTTATGAGCTACATAAGCTCATAAATTTATAGTAATATGTTTAAGAATACATGGAAGTTTTGCAGAGATTAAAATAAAATCTAGTACAAAGCAGAGAGCCTGCTTGACTTGAGGTAGGTAGATCTGCAGTGTAGGACAGAATTCTGTCCTCAGGAAAAAACCAGCAAACAGAAGAGGGAATACAAACGGTGTGAAAGAAATGAGAGAGTAGTATTTTTTTTTTATGGTAGTATGTTGGGTCCCAAATGCAGGTGATGTGCAAGGGTATGTATCATTCATTCAGTGTTTTGCTATTTTAAAGTACCTTAAAAATACCAGCTTGTTACAAGGCTGTTCCCCATTCTGCAAAGGTACTTCACCATCAGTGTAATGGAAGAATGGTAGTGTAACTTCCAGTGCTTCAGAACAAACTGTGCTGTGGGGTTGAACAAGAGTGACTCGTAACCCTCACGCAGATTTAACACTAAGGTGGAAGTGTATGGAAGAACCTTGGATCAAATACAGTTTTCCTACTGGTGAAAACCAGCCTGTGGAGGATAGAGCTTGACAGCATTTGAGAGAGATTATTGAAGAAACCCCAAACATGTGTATGGTAGGTGATACCTGTTACAGTTCATGGTAACAATTTTTTTTTGTTGTTGTACAGGCAAATACGAGAGCCATACACGTGTGCACACAGGGGAGAAGCCTTTTGAATGTGATATATGTCACCAGCGCTACTCAACGAAGTCCAACCTGACAGTGCACAGGAAGAAACACTCCAGTGATACCGACTTTCACAAGAAGGAACACAAATGTCCCTACTGCAATAAGCTGCATGCAAGCAAAAAGACTTTAGCAAAGCACATGAGGAGGCAAGTATGAGCAGATGTGTCTGACATTTCATTTTAGAAGTGGAGATAAATGTATGTACGCACACAGCATATTCTGCATTGTTTTTATAAGCATTTTTTTCAAATATGTGTCTTTTCGGAGAGCATGGGGATTAACAGTATCACCTAACCTGCCCTAAGTTTTTGTGAGAGTTCTGCTATAGATTTTTTATTATAAATTTTAGAATCTTTCAGATTAGTTAGCACAGTCAGAACACATCAGTCTTAATAATTGTCTGTACTGCTTTTAATTTGGAGGCAGAATAAAATATCTTCTTTGGTTTTATATGTGAATGCTTTACTGTTGATTGATAGTAGGGGGCTAAACCATTTCCATGCAGATACTTTTAGGTGAATAATTTGTTTATGATAGGCCTAATTTTAAGGTATTATTTACATACTGGTTTTTTTCTTCTGTCTTTATAAATATACATAAGGCATTATAATTGAAACTGTCCTGTCAAGAGTCATTTGAGATTCTACAGGAGTCCATAGTAAACACTGCTTTCCAGTTAATTGTGCACTAGAATTGTTTCAATGTCAGTATTCTGTTCTGCAGGTGTGGTAATAAACTGTCATGATATATGAAGTTTAGAAATAGATATTTAGTATTTGTGTGATCTTCATCTTGGAAAGCTACCTTCAGCTTCTGTCTTATTCCTAGGTTTCATCCAGAGAATGTACAAGAATTTCTTTCTATCAAGAAGACAAAGAGTGAAGGTTGGAAATGTGATGTAAGTAATCTTCAGTACTTTTGTTGGTTTCATATAGAGTCTGTGTTTTGTGAACGTAAGTGAAAATGTGATATGTGTTTCTGTGAAATCTCAGAAGGCTTTGCAAGTGATGGTATAAATTTCTTCTATGTGCTGATTTAAGGACTGGGCTTTATCTGCATATACAGCCTCTGGTCAGGTAGATAAATTTGAATTCTAAAGTAGTTAGAGGCAGTATTTTTTATTACTGCTGTTCAGATATATCAGTTTGCAAATGATTAGACTTGAGTGTTATGAATACTTTTAAAACAGACTATTTTCTCTCCTGTTAATTATGTGCATCAAGCACTGACTATAAAGGATACTGTTCTAGGAAGTCTCTCTCAGTAGTGTGGAAAATACAAAACACTTTCTCATTTAGCTACATATGCATGTCAACAGAGTTGTAAATTTGTACTAAATTTATGTCTATTTGTAAAATCATAGAATACTGCCCTTGATTTTCCCCTGGAGAGGTTTATATGTGTGAAACTACATCTAGTCTAAAAAGGAGTTTGTAGAATTTCCATTCTCTGTCTGTATGCTGCCAAGGGATGTTTTCAAGTTTTCAAATGTGGGGTTTTGTTGTTTGGGGTTTTTTTTAAGGGAATTGATTTACTTTTTGTTTCTCAGGGCAACTGTTTTGTTTATGCAAGCTGCTGTATGCTGCTGTATGTCTGTAATATTAGGTGCCCTAACTTAATTACTAACCTTGCTTTGTTTGGGAACTTTCACTTACAAATATATAGTAGGAGGTTGGGAGATACCAACTGTAGGAATTTGTAGCGTTCAGTCTCTTGATGGTGGGACTGTGGTTGGATGTATTGCATGGTTGACCAACTTTCAGATGAAGCTGTATTGTGCAAACATGTTACAGATTGTGTTTGTTACTAGATGAGAAACATTGTAATAGTGGGAATCAATCATGTGACATTTTTGATGTTCCTTCTGGGAAAGAATGCTTCCCAGATGAGTGATTTGATAAACTCCACTTCATGGTTTGTGGGTTTATTTTTTTTCCTGACGATTGTAAGTAGAAATTAAAAAAGTGAGCTGCTGCTCTCGTAGAGCTCATGTGCTTTGAAAATGCACTTGAATTAAAAGCAGGGTTAGAATTTTAGCTTTGATAGCGGTTGGAGATTGAACAGAACCCTTGGGAGCGGTGCTGTGAGTTTGTTTTCAGGTTGTGTGGTATGTTCTGAGAGCTGAGGTGCCACAGATGTGAGCTGCAGGATTCATTCAGGTTGTTGGTTTATGCTGTAGTCTGTGTGTGAACACCAGGATTTGGTGACCATACTTTAATCCTTGAGGAATATGAGTGAATTAACAGAAACAATAGAGTATTAATAGTAAAGAGAAGTAAGAAGGCTATTATACTTTCTCCAGGTATGGGATTTTCTTACAGCTATACTTTACATTAATGAGTTTTAAACAAATAAAGCTGTTGCTTTTGATTTCCTTATTCAGGTGTCCTCTGAGGAAGTGATTGCAGGATTTAATGGATGGGACTTGGGTAGTACTAAATTCAGCTCTTGTAAACAATGTCAAGAGTTTCACAGTGAAGTTAGTAAGCACTGTGTTGATTTATGTTGAAGCATAGGACCCTAATGATGAATTGTAATACCTGGTTTAAATGCCTAAATTTGAGCTGTAGCTTCAAATCTGTAATTGTACTGCATAGTTACTTCAATCACTGCTAATAATTCTTGTACATTTGGGTTTTGGTTAATCTGAAAACAGTACTGAGAAGCTCACATAATTTTAGCCCTGTGGAGGTTCTGTAGTTCTAAAATATAATTTGAGTTATACTTCTTTGTTGATATTGGCATTTTCTCTTTAATACCTGCTATCAGAGAATTTACCAGAGGAAATAAAGAAGCAGGTATGATTCTGGTTCTACAGTAGCTTATACTACAACAATTTTTACCACAGTCCAACTGAGCCATTTCAGCATCCGAAACCAAGTCACAGCTATTTGCCTTTTTTTTCATTGGGTTATTTTCTGCTAAGTTACTGTATTGAAACACCCTAGGAAAAGTCTGTTAAGTGCTGGAGTCAGTAGAAAGAAGGAGAGGGGAGGAACATGTAACTGCATGCAGGAGTTGGCAGTAGTTTGATTTAGGCTGCCATAGATCTGCATCCTAATTTATATAGTACAGTCCACTATGGGTTATGTAGAACACGGATTGCTTCGGATGTTGACTGCAAGGCTTTACAAGTAAGATTTTGAAGAATACATATTTAATCTTTCATTGGTGCAGAGAGCAGATGAAATCAACTGCTAAGAGCTTATGAATGGTAAAAAAATCTGGTTATAATTGATGTATCTTTGACAAAGTGTATTATCATTTTAGATTTGTAAGAAATCTTTCACTCGAAGACCTCATTTAGAAGAGCATATGATCCTTCACTCTCAGGATAAACCCTTCAAGTGTACCTATTGTGAAGAGCATTTTAAATCCCGGTTTGCAAGACTGAAACATCAAGAAAAATTCCATCTCGGTACAGAAACCTCCTTCTGACATGTAAACAATAGATTTAAAGTAAAACCTTCCCCCACTATTGTATGTTCTGATCAGTCTGGTTTCTATCCCACCTCCTTTTACAGTTCTCTCTTCCAATTTTGTGACAGAGTTGTTTGGGGGTTTTTTGGTTGGTTGGGTTTTACTTTTCTGTTCAGTGGTCATTCTGAGTCATTCTGTTGTACCTAAAAAAGTCAAAATTTTGAGGAGGAAGAAGACTTAAGGTTACTTAGGTTTTAAAACTGTTTTGTTCTTAGCTATGGAGTCAGTTTCTTTCTGAAGTTTTCAAAAGACCTTTTCCTTTCCTTCTGAAGTATCTGAAGACTTTTTTATTACTAAGAATTATTTCTGCTGGGTAGGAACTAGATTGCTGATAATAATGGGAATTTGTTTTTTCAAGCAGTCTAAGTGGGCTTAATTACTTTTGACTATTAATTCTAAATTTTTGCTTTACAGTAATGAAATCTGTCAAAATACCAGGTATTAGAAATAACTTATCTGAGCAGAAAGTGCACGAAGTCTAATTAAAGTACGCTGAGTGTACTAAACATTAATAATTTGTTAGACAAAATTTTTGTTTGTAAAGTTTTCAGGGTTTTCACAAGTAACCAGATTGTGCATCTTATTTAGTTTAGCTGGCAGTTAATGCTGCTATATGTGTCTGTCTACTTCTAGGGCCTTTTCCCTGTGACATTTGTGGCCGACAGTTTAATGATACAGGAAATCTGAAACGCCATATAGAATGTACCCATGGGGGAAAGAGGAAATGGACATGTTTCATCTGTGGAAAATCTGTCAGGGAACGGTAAGGAGTTGAGTGACTACTTGAACTTCAGCGGAACGGAGAAATATTTAACATACTTTGATTTTGAATATGTTTTAGCTTTGAGTTTTTGACATAAATGAGACCATTTCAGAGGGATAGTGTATTAAAAGGTGGTGTCAGAGCCAAAGGTAGCATGTGATTTTCTGATCACCTCTAAAATTAAGGGTGACGACTGTAGGTGATTAGTTATGAGCTGCAATTATATTAAAATCTTACCTCTCGTTCACTTCACTTAAAATTCCTGTGTTGTACAAAAACATCTTGCATTTTTTTGGGAAAGATGTGGGAGGGACATTGCCTAAAATTAAATTTGACTGCCTGAATGTTACTGTTAAACAGAACAACTTTGAAAGAACATCTGAGAATTCACAGTGGAGAGAAGCCTCATCTTTGCAGTATTTGTGGGCAGAGTTTTCGTCATGGAAGCTCTTACAGGTACAGATTTTTATTAAACAAGCTGCGAAGCTGTTTTGCTTATTTGCTGATATATATGCATTCATGTTATCAATAAAATTTTTTGTACTGTCTGTGTTTTGGTGCATTCAAACTCTGAGGGCATTAGTAAACATTGAAATATTGAAATATTGAAAATATATTAATAATCTGTAAGAAGTAATTTAATTTTTAATAAATTACTGGCTTAAACACAGACAGACTCCTACAAATCTTGTGTCAAACTTGAGTTTCTTGCACAGCTTAAACTTTTGCATCTTTGTTATTCAAAGAGAAAGTAAGCAGAGGACTAAAATATCCTGCTAAATTAATGACACATCTGAGAGTTCAGCTCTGTTCTCTCTTGCTTTTTAAGAGCAGTTTAAGTGTATCTCATCTGAAAGTTATTTCCTGATACTTATGTGAAGCTTTTACTGGTATTTTGCACTGCATTAGCAGTACAGATTATGTTAACAGAATTACATTTTTTGGTTATGTTTATGACTATAAATATGCAGACTTCATCTAAGAGTCCACCATGACGACAAGAGATATGAATGTGAAGAATGTGGGAAAACATTTATTCGACATGACCATCTGACAAAACACAAAAAAATTCATTCAGGTAGGTATTTTCTTTGAAAATTGTCTTCAAAATTACTATTTTGAAATAAAACCAAATAAAAATTAATTATGGATTTTGTTTTCAGTACTCACGTTGGTTTAGGCCTTATGAAAGTTCCTCTCACTATTTTTAAGGATGACTAAGTAGGGTTAATCTTACATGTTTTCCAGGTTTAAAAGCCAAGTATTTCCTCCATGTTAACATAGAAAGCTGAGGGACAGTCAAAAACATGTAACAGTGAATTGCTTTAAAAATAATAAATAAAAAAGCAATAGTGAAAAAGGAGGATTTTTTGATGAGTTCAGATTTCTTTTTTTTAATAGCAATTGCGTGAAACATTATTACCACCCCATAGAAGAAGCTGTCACAGTCTCTGTCAAAGTTTGTACGCTGATCACTTTAATGTAAGAACATCAAAGAGGTGTTTCTAAGTCTCTGTTATGGGACAGAGGAAAGGAAGGAAGACTGAGGAAATCAGCCCTGAGAACAGCCAGATGGGGATGATCAGGAGAAAGAAAAAAAAAATCTGTTACATTAAGAGCAGAAAAGTTATCAAATGTATAGGAAGAGCAAAGATTCACCAGTGACTTTTTCAGAACAGGATCCAGAGGGAATATGGCCTTCTAGGAGGCAAAATACTATGAGGCAGCATGAAAATATGAAAGTGATCAGAGTCTAAACTTCCCAAGCCTTTTTTTTGAAGGACAGCTTCTTTTTTGGTATTTGAAATCGTGTCTGCTATCAAATAAAGAAATCTTTGAAAACTCCAAGTACCAAAAAAAAAAAAATCCTCTTTTCTGCTCTATTTGCTTTTCCCCCTCTAGAAAGTTACATTCTTTGACTGTCCACACTCCTCCTACTTACATGAGAAGAAATATTCTGCCACTTTGTAGAAGATCTCAAGATGACTCAAAAGAATCAGGATACTTTTAAACAGCAGCATAAAAGGAAAAGGTAACTATGTAAATCAGGATAATTAAAAAGATAAATACTGTGGTGTAATTTTAAGTTCCAAAAATTAGTAGCTGAAAATCACTGGTATGTTTCAATAAGCTTCTCTTTTAAAACAGCTGAATTATTGAAGTTATCACATTTTGGGTCATAACAAAGGGAGTGCATTCCTAGTCATTCACTTGTACCTCTCATGTAGTGGCTGCTTGGGGAAGCGTCTCTTGACTTGAACATGAATTTCTTTTTAGGAATGACAAATGGTCATATATGATATGTATTAGTCATATATAACAAGTGGTAAAAATCCTTACCCTGGTAGAACCAACATACTTCCTGAATTTTGTTTTATGATGACAGAGAATCCTTCTCCAGGTAAGCTGTGGAAGAGCTTGATTGGTTGAACTCTGGGAACATAAATCTTTTGTATATTTTATAATTATAGCTCTTAGACATTCAATAAATTCCAAAAGATTAAACCAAAATTTATTGAATTTTGCCCTTGTAGGTGAAAAAGCACATCAGTGTGAGGAATGTGGAAAATGTTTTGGCCGTAGAGATCACCTTACCGTTCATTATAAAAGTGTTCATCTAGGAGAAAAAGTTTGGCAGAAGTAAGTGTGGGTTTTTTACAGCTGCATAAATACTTCTCTACTGTAAGTGATTTTGTTGGGAGGTTTGAGCAGAATTCTAGTAGTCTGTGTGTTTGTCATGCCTGTTACCTTAGTCGTGGTAGAGATATCATTATTACAGTTCCAAGTCAATATTGGAAAATTACCTTCACAATTTAAGCAAGATATTTTCTTTGTAGCATAATTAACTAAATAAAAGTATTAAAAAGGATCAAGTTTTAATCTGTCAATTATCTGTCTCAGTGTTGTTCTAAATTTATGATTTACTGTAATATTGTCACTGCAGCCTAGTTAAAACTGAATTATTAGTCATCATGTAAGCACTGTGAGAATTATACCACACTTACGGTATTTTAGAAGCTGGCAGCAGATTAGTGGCTCTGAAAGTAGGTAAAAATTTTGAAACCTGAGTTGTGACTATAAATTGAAAATGCAATAGAGTTTTAAAGTTCTTGAGCTCTCAATATAAGCCTTTCAGAGATTTGAAATAAACAGACCTAGTTGGTTTTCAAATTATGTGTTTTAACTGTTAGTATTCATTAGTGTTGTGGAGAAGCCATTGTAGATGTGTCTGTGTTAAAAGTATAACATATTGTCTGCTTCTTCTCTTCTTGTTTTTCCTCAGTAGGCAGTAGCCTACCTAGAAATTCTGCCATTCCTTAGAACCTTATTTATGGCCTAATCCTACCAAAGTGAAAGCTTCTTGTGGATGTTGAGCAAAAATGGAACTTAAGGGTATTTTGGGAGTCAGAAAAAAAGTTCTAGTGGCTTTTGCCCTTTGAATACTGAAGTGCCATCCCACAGAGAATAAGATTGAGTATTAAAAAATATCTAATTGACCTTATTGGTATGTAGATGCCAAGAAATAGAAACATAAGTGAGGAAATTTTGAAACTTTGATATTTAGCTATTTTGGAGTTAAAGATTTCAGAAAGGACTGTGCACAAGCTTTACTGTTATTTGGTTACAAAAAAAAGCATCTAACATGAAATGTCTTTTCTTCTTTAAAGATATAAAGCAACATTTCACCAGTGTGAAGTCTGTAAGAAAGTTTTTAAAGGGAAATCAAGTTTGGAAATGCATTTTAGGACACATTCAGGTAAAAATAAAACAAACTTCAACTAAACCACAAAACATGTAGGAATGTATTTTTATACATCAGTGTTGATTCAGTTATTTAGTTCATTGTGGTTGTTGAGCATTCAGGGCAAGAGTAGGAGGAAGCAGCAAGACTTTATTCATTCTTATATATTGGTCATTCCTGATTTCTACTCTCTGAAAGTATTAGCTGAAATACTGATAATCCTCACCACAGGTTTGTAGTACACTCTCTGCACCTTCTCCTTTATTTTACTGGTGTGTGTTTTTGCACAATTTACCCACATCTTCTAAATGTTTCTGTGGTCCAGAGATTACCACGTTTCAAGTGGTAGTCTAAACAAGGATTTGAAATCTCTTTGGAAAGGGTTATGTCCTTTTTGTTTGACTTTGTTTTTCCTGCCTTGTGTTTAGGAAAGTCATTGTCCTTTTGAAATATATAGAAATACAAACTGAGATCATTTCATACCAGTATCATAACAGTTTAAAGACTGTTCTTTTTTCTTTATTTATATTCTAACATAAATCCAAAGTATTGAGAGAACTGTATGTTAGGAGAAGAGTATGTCAGTATAACTTGTAAACAAACTTCGGATGGCTCCCCTGATTCCAAAACTGATGCTAAACATACACTCTTTGTTTTCAGTAAAATTGTTTTATACTAGGTCTCTATGCCATAATCCATGTAGGTATTTGCATATTTATGTGTGATTTGGTGTTACTCAGAATAACTCATTTTTACTTCTCTGTCTTTTCAGGTGAGAAACCCTACAAATGTCAAATCTGTAATCAGTCTTTTAGAATTAAGAAGACATTAACAAAACACATGGTTATTCATTCAGATGCTCGACCTTTTAATTGCCAACACTGCAATGCAACATTTAAACGAAAAGACAAGCTGAAATATCATATTGATCATGTTCATGGATCAAAGGCTGCAGAAGAGGCATTGGCGTCTTCTCCAGAGGAAAAGCTGGTCTCCTTACCAGTGCAGTACACCTCTGATGACAAAGTGTACCAAACTGAGGCTAAACAATTTGTGGAACAGTCCAAAGCATATCAATCTGAAGCCAAAACTTTGCTGCAGAATGTATCCACGGAAGTGTGTGTGCCTGTGACTCTGGTACCAGTTCCGATGTCTGACCCACAAGCAGAGCTGGTGCAGCATCCTGCTCAGTCACACAGCATCCTGCCTCCACAGCCTGAGCAGGCAGAGTATCAACGAGCCACAGATCTGGCATTTCTAGAGAAATACACTCTTACTCCACAACCTGCAAATATTGTTCATCCTGTAAGGCCTGAGCAAATGTTGGATCCCAGAGACCAGTCATATCTTGGAACTTTACTGGGGCTAGATACAACTCCTACTGTACAGAATATTTCAAACAATGAGCATTCGTGATCAGACTGAAACATTCCACCTAATTTACTAGGTCATTGGCCACCAGAAGGCTGATATGGCAACGAAGATTTATATTTTATATTTTATTTGGACTCATAAGTCTTCTGCATAGTTTTGGAAAAACAATTTGTTTACATAATATTTGAACATTTAGGCACATTTTAATGCATACTGAAAGAGTGTTTCTTGTGATTTTAAGAGTTTTTAAGAATCTTATAGATGGTCTTTTAAAAATAATGCTCTTAAATATCTTTTAAGGATAGTGGCTGAAAAATGTCATTACATATCTGGCTATTAATTTAAAAAAATTGCCTTTCTGCATCTCACTTTAAGTTAATATTTTAAGTGTAAGAGAAAGCATTCTGAAAGAATAAGGACTATATCAAATTCATTAAAATTTGTAAGGGCAGACAGGGCTATAAAACAGAAACTTTGAATTATGTTTCACACAGAAATTAATATATAATTTTACTTGAACCCTCAGGCATTTTTGGAGGGTTTTAAAGTCACCTGGACTCTGAAGCCTAGCCAGTGAACACAGGCACTAGGTTCTTCTGAAAAGGGATTCTGTGATATTTTATGAAGACACTAAACAGGGTGTTTGATGGCCCCCTGAGTATAGTTAGGCTGCCTAAATTAGTTCTTCCTTGATCTCTAATATTGAATAATATGGGAAGATCTAGATAATGGTATTGTCTAATTTTCTACACTTAGTTCTATATAATTTTATATGCATTTTTTCTTCTTTTTCAATTTTGTTTGTCTTCTAAAGTGTACCCCACACTCTGACTTTGAAAGAAAAGGAAGTATTTGTAAGGTCATTTTAATCTATGAACAGTCATGAAGGGTTGACATGGTTCATCCTTGTTAGATCATTAGTCATACCAGAGTCCCACATTAACATGCCCATTTTCAGGTTATCTGATAGAGGAGAAATTTAAAGACTGTTCCAAAACAGTACTCAATTTCTATTTAAGAAAGAACAATTAATCAGTAATTATAAATATCTTGTGAGTTGCTAATTAAATTGGTTTATTTCTCACTTTCTTGTACTGTGTTTATAAAACCAAAGTCAAACTCTTGAGAGTATTTTATATCTAATTATTTTTAGCTTTTTGTTTACTAAACATAAGGGTTTTTTTCCAAAAGAACCGTTTTGAACTACAAGTTTGGTGTTAGCATGAAATCTAGTATAATTTAAACTCATCGAGCTTTCTATTTTAAGCCTTCTTTAAAAATAATTGTTCTGTGGTTTTTTTTGGTGAATATGATGCCAAAGAAAGTATCTGAAGTAATTTCATAATTACTCACAAGAATTACATAGGATTCTCATTAAGATGAGAATTAAGATTCAAATTTCCCCCCAGCTTTCCCTAGTCATAAATTATTATCTCAAATAACCTTTAAAATGGGAAACTGGACTTATATGTATAATTTTAACTGTTAAATTTATTCAATGACCTGAACATAAGTGAGCTGTGGTGAAGAGCTCTCTTGTTATCACAGTTCTACAAATTCTCAAGTGGTGTGGATCATTTTAAATCATATTCAGATACTTTGGTGTTAAATTCTGTTAATCCTCATCTACTTCAGTATGGAGCAGTTTGCAGGAGAGGGGCCAGAACTGCCTGAATGTTCATATTTTGAAGCTTGTACCCTAATGGATTCTTAACCTAAACACACCAAAGATTTCTGTTAGCTGTTAAATAGTGGCAAAGTTATAGAATTGTAAGTGTTATCAATATTTAAATAGGACTTAGCCAAAGAAGCACAATAGAAGTCCTAAACTTTAAAAGTTTAGTTTCTAAAACAGGACTACATATGTTTAACTGTTCTGTCTTTGTATCTCTAATGCAAAATTTAGAGCTGTGCTCTGGGAATGTTCAGACTGACATGCTGTAAATATATCTGGTAAGAAGCTGACGACTAGCAAATACACAGCAATAACAAGGCCATTGAATGCCACCTTCTGAAAGGACGCTATCAAGTACTACCCTTCCTGCTTTCTAACTCCACCTTCATCTTCTTTCAAAATAAAACTGTTTCTGTCGTCTTCACACTCCATGGCTTGAAAATGGCTGTTTTATGTGAAGTTTTCAAGTCGACATGTGTGTATCGTATTCATATTATAGCATGTGCACATGGAACATGATTTCTAATGCATCTGTAATTGTACTGTTAAAAATAACCCAACATCAATGCTGTCAGTGCAGTGCTCAGACTAAAAAGTCTAACTCTTTGTTATTTCTTGTCTTTTCTGTCCTACAGTAGAAAAAAATATTGTAGGATTTTGATAAAACAGTGGCTTAAGAATAGTCAGTAACTGATTGTTTCTTTTAAAGTCCAGTCTGTTTGGAAGGCACTCCAGGAAAATCTGAAAATGGAAATTGGGTCGTGTTTACTTGATAATGTCCTTTTAAAAATTCTTTCATATTTGTGCCTTTTATATATATTCTGAATAATGGCTTTTTCTCTAGTTCAGTTGTTTATTCAGAAAACATTAAGGTCAATAACTTCCAAAGGGCTTCATGTTTTTGGGTGCCCAACAAGAACCGGACTATAAAAGGACTCGTTTTTCAGAAAAACGAGCGCTCTCTTTGTTTGGGTGACCAGAATTACTAGTCATTCCTGGAAAAAATGACCTACTAGTTCTTTGGTGTTCTTTTGTTTGCAGATAACCCTAGTAGTTAGTGTTTTTACCTGCTGGTCAGGCTGGATCATTGCCAGTTGACAGTGAAAGAAAATAGGAAAGCTTATGTGTTAGATACATAGTTTTTATTTTTATTTAATATCATGAGCTATAATTCATATGGCTTTACATCTATTTAAAATTCATATATGAGCAAAGTAAATTTTCATGGACTGGTACTTCATTTGGTAGGTGGAAGTATCTTGTTTCAGCTTGATGGAGGATAGTTATTAAGAGGACTGAGTTGAAGGGCAGAGATCTGCACCTTGCAGCTGCATGGGTCGAAACTCCTTAGTGTCTGACACCTCCATTTTAATATGTATATGTACTCACAGGAGAGAGCATGTCCTGTTGATCTGGAAGATGCATTTACAACAAAGGCTATGTTTTATCTGGCAGTCATTGGCTCAGTTGAGCATTTATTGCCAAAGAAGGAAGAAGGAGGTGTCTCTTAAAAATATTTCTAAAGGATGATTAGTGGCACATTGCAAAAAGTTGGTCTTTACCACATGCTGATCTTTGGAAAGAAGAGCGAGTCCATGTTGGTACTCCAAACTGTGTGTGGTTCTGAGAACTTGTTGCACTCATTCTGTTTAAACATTGAATTCTGTATTTTTTGCTATACAAATTTCTGGGTTACTGCCTTTAATTCTTTTAGTGGATTTTATGTTCAGTTTATTTATTTGAGCACTGACACTTTTCTTACAAAGGTATGTCTCTCATGGGTTCTTTTCATGCTGAACATCAGTCATTGTAATGGTGATGATATATCTTCTGTAAGGCTGTGGTTTCCTTAAAACTATAGTGCTACTTTAGTCTGGACTATAATTTGGGTAGTTGTTTTTAAAGATGGGTTGTGCCAGACCATAATGACAAAAGATTTATTTAGTATCATCAAAGAGCTGAGCTCCTTTCCCTAGTAATGAATGTCAAAGAGTATCCAGAACTGAAGAATGCTTCCAAGGAGTTGCCTCACAATGTGCTTGATTAAACATGAAATGTGTTATGGACTGCTAAGGAACAAATGAAATAAATAACCCTCAAGTTTTTAAATTTAAAATAATTCCTGTGTAGGAGTTCATGAATGTAGAATTATGAATGAATTCTGAGAAGGCTGTTGTAGATGAATATTTTTTTTTCCTGAGAATATAAAAGATGTGTAATATTGAACATAACATGCCTACCTGATGCAGAGTGCATGTTCCCCATATGCCTGAAGCTAAAGGGAAATAGAGTGTATTTACCTGTAGGTCCTTGTGACTGCTGTCACGTGGGTTCTTTCTCTACAATACGGTCTCAGTGATTTGGTTGTTTCATTGTGTGCATTGAAGAATGTCACTGGCAGAATGTAATGCGGGGCAGTCATTTTGCTTAAGCCCATTTACGGTCTTTTCCATGGTTCATAAGAAATGTTTTGGTTTAAAATTATTTGATGGATTAAAGGTAAAAATGGCAAAATTTTTTTTCAACCCCCATAACCATTTTGATAATGTTTAAATGTTGGTCCTTTTATATGAAAGAATAAGGTGAAAAGAACTCAATATTTTGTCACTGGTTTATGAGATAATGTGTTTTAAATGTGATCTGTACAGGTTGGTATTTTAGATGGGAGTCTTTAAAGTTGTCTTTTTAGGGGAAATCCTTTGCTGTAAGGAAAAGCTAGGAAGTGTACTGTAAATGTAGAAGTACTCAGTCCTATGTGTGATTTTGTTTGCTATGGAAAAGTAAAGTTCTTTTGTCTTAACATTGTGTGCTTCACAGGATTTACTGCAGGGCTGCTTGTGATAAGTTTTGATTTTTGCCCCCCCTTTTTCTCTTTCTGAACAGCGTGGAAACACAGTACTCTGTATGTCTCAATTTTAAGGCTCATGAAAGAGAAACAGATGAGGCGATGTTTTGATCAAATCTGTGTGTCTCATTCTGCTTTTGATTTTAAAATATTTTGTAAATTAAATTTATTTAGGAAAAAAACCCGACAACTTGATTTTGCTTGATTTATTAGTTTTTTTGTTTTTTGTTTTAACGTGAAGAGATCTCTGGGGCGTGGAGCTTCGCCAAAGCCCGTTGTTTTGTTATTTGATCTCGCAGCCCCACCGAGCCCTCACGGGCCGTGCCCGGGCCGCTCCCGCTGCGCCCCGAGCTCGGGCGTTTAAATGAAGCGCCGGGCGCTGATTGGCGGAGAAGCCGGGGGGGCGGGGCGCGGCGGGCGCAGCGATTGGCGGAGCCGCGGGTTTGAAGGGGCGCGCGGCGGGCGCGGCGGTTGGCGCAGCGCGGCCTGTGCGGGAGCCGCTGCCCGGCCATGGCCGCGGGCTCCGTCCCGTCAGCGGCGCGCTGGGAGTGCAGCCCCGCCGCCGACCCCCGGCGGCGGCGGCGATGGGGCGCCGAGGAGGACGCAGACGAGGGCCCAGCCGTGCTGGTCCTGAGCCACTTCTCCCGGCCGCCCTTCCTCAGCTTCGGCCGCCTGCGGGTGGGCTCTTCCCGCACACTCCTGCTTGGAGTCGACAACCCCAACGAGGAACACACCGACGTGGTGGTCGAGCGCTTCCCGGCCGCGGCCAAGGGCTTCAGCATTGAGCACCGCCGCTTCGCTGTGCAGGTGCGGCGGGGAGCGGGGCCGGGGCCGGGTGTCTGAGCGGGGACACGCGGGGGGACCCTGAGCCGTGCCCGGCGGGGGCGGGGGGCGAGGGAGGGCCGGGGCAGGCACCGGTTGCGGCGTGGTCCTGCCCCCGGGGGGATCCACGCGTCTCCTGGGTTTTTGGACAGCCGGTACCCGAAAGCTGCGCCCCCGCTGTAGATGGCGGTGTGGGTGGTGGCTGTGGGTGCCGCGATCGTGTCCCGCGGTTCGCCCCAAAGGGGTCCGAGCCTGTCAAGGCTGCGAAGGCGTCGCATCCCGACTCAGTAGAGGGGTGTGTGCGGCAAGGTGCAAAGAACAAAGTGAAATTAATTGTTCGCCGGGAATCTGGTTTTAAAGACAGAGACGGAAGAATAAGAGGTGCTTAAACAGTGACCTGTCAAAAAGTTGGAGGATATATGTTTAGGAAAAAGGCTGAGAGAGCTTTTGAAGAGGATGCTAATATACTGTTCTTCACGTTAATTAAATTATATAATAGAGAGCAAAGCAGGCTTAAGCTAGTAATAAATATTTACGATTCTCAAGGAAATATGAAGTGTGGTTAGTCCTATCAGTGCCAGTTTTTAAAAGGACAGTTTAGACAAACATATACTTATGGTCACCTAGGCTGTCCAGAGTCTGTGAGAGAGGAAGAAACGCTTTGGAGAGCTCTTGCAATAATGGATTTATAAAACCAGACTGGAGTCTTGGTATGAAGTATTTGAATAACAGGTTCCTGTAGTAATTAATGAATAGTAAACTCCTTGATCATTTGCAATGTCTTTATTTATTTATTTTTATTCAAAGAGCTTGTATGTCAAATCTCATCTTTGCACGTTGTTTGACTGAAAAATTTGACACTTGTATTTAGGGCCAGCTAAGGTCCTAAAAATTAACCTCTGATTATTAGTTCCACTATAATTCTCTCAGAATTACTCTAGAGGACTTAATTGTTTAATATATGCAAAAAATTATGTAATTTCTTCTACTTACCTTTACTCAAATCTTGTCCTTTCTATGTGTTATATTTATACATATTCTTGCTTTTTCTCCACTGTAGTTTCATTAAGAGGCATATGTCCTTTTAGTTATATGACATTTTTGACAGTGATTGCTTAAATTTACATGTCAGAGGGGGAAAACTGATATTTAAACGTTTAACAGTTGTGTATCATTTCACGTTGTCGAAATATATGTTACTTCTATATACTGCTCCTCGTTTGATTACTTGATCTTTAATGTTATGTAAGTATACCTAAATGCTAGGTGTTGAACATTTCTTTTTCTCTAATAGTCAGGACAAAGAATCTTTGTTTCTGTGACATGGATGCCATTAGAAGAAGGAAAAGTCAGAGAGCTGGTAACTTTTGTTGTTAATGGCATTGTAAAACACCAAGCTGTGCTCCTTGGTGCTGCTGAGCAGCCCCCGAAGAAAAAGGTGAGTTTATGGTGTCTTAATTCTGTTACTTTGGCATAGCTGACACAGATATTGTTTTTATTACTAGAAAATTCAGTGAAGGAGAATTAAAAATTGATAAATAATGCTGTCTGTGGAAAGGCCCATGTTGTCAGTTTTTTCCCGCTGGATTGGAAAGTAGGTGCTGATGCATTACAGCTTAGAGAATAAAACTAAAACATGACCAAATAAACTGCTTTCAAGCCTGGAAATAACATACTGTGAATTTTGTATTAGGTGTTCTTTTTATAGTATTTTTAAACTTTGAATAAATATGCTAGTAACATTCACTTTTACACATGGAAGTATTTAGGAAGTCAGCACACTAACTTTTATTTATGGTTCTTTTTCAGAGGAGTCTTTGGGATAAATTAAAAAAGAAAAACTCTTCAGAAACCTCTGCTGCAATAAAAGTTAAAAAGAGTACTTCAGAAATAAAAAATGTTGATAAAACATTTCAAGTTTCTCAGAAGGTGGATAGACTTAGACGTCCACTTCAGGCATGTGAAAATCAGAACACGGTGCAAAATAATATGTCCCCAGGAAATGACACTCTTCTTGGCTCAGAAAATCAATTACCTCCATCTCCTATTGCGCCAGTGCCAGAGGAACATCGTAGTACTGTTAGCACACCCCTTGCAATGAGAAGATCTACTACATTTGCAGATATTGCTGCCTCTGTAAATGAGGCATTATTGCCTCAGATAGACAGCCATAATGTCAAGAGATGTGTTAATGAGCACAATGAGTTACAATCTGAAAGTGTCTACAGTTCTGCTGGATTAGCACAACTACCAATTTCAGACTGCGCAGAAGTTCTTAATTGTACACTCTCACCAGATTGCACTCCAGAGCACTCAGCATCTGCACCTGCTTTAAGTACAAGGAGAATTTTAAGTCCAGATGCTTTTGTAAATGGGAATTATCAAGTGGATATAGACACAATGGAGCAGCCTTTTACAATTCTGTCACCTGAGCAATTTGTGAAAGACAGTTTGTCAGATAAGCAATCAAAGACTCCTAAACCTGAGGCAGCGTTAATATCATCTACCACAGAGACTTACGTGATAAAGAGATTTCTACCCTCAAAATGGAGAAAGGATGGAGATGTAGAGACAGAAACTCATGTTTGCATAGAACACAACTTACATGAAGTCTTTGAGATGCATAATGTAACATTACTTCATGATGATAAACCCAAAGAAAATCACTGCAGTTCTCGTTCTGCAGGGGAACCTCAGACTGATAATTCTTCTCGGAGAGAACAAACAAAAAAACGTCCAATTCTTTCTGCCACTGTTATAAAAAGTAAGCCTGCTGCTACTGAAGAAACAAGAGCGGAAACCTGCCAGCCAAAATCTAAAAAATGCCTTAATAAAGCAATAATAGAATGTGCTAATGTGGGGAGTGTACGTACAGAAGCAGAAATATCTGAACACCTGCCAGTTGCAGGTCCCATTTCAGCTGAAAATAAGTGTCACAACGACAAAGTAAATTCATCTCCTACTGGATCAACTTCTTTGTGTCGTAAGAGGAAAAGTGAAACCTATGTAGAAAATAGTAGAGTCACAGCTCCAGTGTATGTGGAAGAAGTGGAAAGAAAAAGAGCTCTTACATCTAGCACGGGCAATCAGACACGTACGACTGTGAGACCATCAACCTTCAAACCCACAAACCGAGAGAAAATAGGACAGAGAAAGAAAGCGAGTGAGCACCATTTCTTTCATTTACCATTTTCTGAAAGATGCCTTTGATTATGAAATGTGTATAGCAAACTGAACTGTCTGGCAACAGTCAGAAATATTTTATATCTCTGAAATGTGGGTCTTTGCAATTTGTTAGACATCTGCACTTCAAAAATCTGAAAACTAGGTTAGAGTTTTGGCTATGTCATTGGCTTCAAATTTACTTTATTCAGCAGAGTCCTTGTTATGTAATTTTAATTTACTAGAAACTTACTGCACAATATTTGTCTTATGTACACTTACCATTGTGAATACTTGACTCCATTATTGTTGTCCCATGTTTTCAAATATAGAATTGTTAAGGTTAGAAAAGACCTTTAAGATTATCAAGTCCAACCATCATCTTGGCACCACCATGTTCACCACTAAACCATAACCCCAGGTGCCACATTCACATGCCTTTTGAACACTTCCAGGGATGGTGACTGCACCACTTCCCTGGGCAGCCTGTCCCAATGCCTGACCAACCTTTCAGTGAAGTAGTTCCCATGTCTTGTTCACTCTGCCTGCTTTTTACTGTCTGTAATTAGCTTGTTGTCAGCCTTGTGTAGATTTTTCTAGATGTGGTAATGGAATTCAAGCAGTACATTTCCTGAGTAAATGGAAGAAAATACAAGAGCACTTATTTTCTCGTAACCGTTTTTCCCTTTTAATTGTAGCCAAACTGGTTTGTCTAACTTTCCATCAGTAACAGGAGGTTATTGGTATTTTGAGTGGGTTCGTGGGGAATTACTCTAGTTCTGTGCTTTAGGAGTGACATGAACTTTAATACTGTAACTTTCACTGACATACTGGCTGTTGATATTTGTGTGTTAATGCTTGTAGGTTATTCACTTCAGAAAGCATCTAAAACTACCAAGAGAATTAGTAAACCTGTCCCTGGATTGGCCCAGTCTCACCTGACATTTGTGAAACCAGAGAAAACAGGTAGGCAGACTCCTGGTATTTAGTAAAATAGTATACACTGAACTGAATGTCACAGCTGTGGTACTGCTAATGTCTGGTAAGACCTAACTGGTTAGAGTTCTGATGAAATGGAAGATTGTACCTAAAATGAATCAATATTTAGTAGAATAATATATGTAACCTTTTGTGATCTGTTTTGACTACTCAAAATTGGTTGCAACACACAACAAGCAGAAGGTAAATGTTACTTTCTTCCAGTTT